AAGAGAGCCAGACCATTTATGGTAGTGGAAATGAGGAAAAGTAACTCAAATTTAGGATCTATTCCGGAGGACATGTGGATTAAGTAAAATAATCTATGTAAAACTTAGCACAGTTGGGTAGTGCAGTACCTGACAGAGGGGCTCAATTAAATGACAATTATGATCTGATATAGCAGGCCGGTCACAATCCCATAGGTCAGAGAAATCTGGCAAATACTTAGGTCATAGACCTAATGTGTAGGTTAGCAAACTGGTTCAAGCACTCATTTATGTGCCACTTGTATAAATCACATTTGGGACCTCAGTTTCCCTATCCATTAAATGAGGAGTAAACAAGATGAACTCTAAGGTAGCTGCCACTGCTAGCTTTTTATGAATCACTTTTATGGTATATATTTATTAGAGTCCCATCAGAAAAGCAGTCACAGCTGGGCATGGTGGCTCATGCCTGTAATCCCAACATTTTGGGAGGCTGAGGGAGGTGGATCACCTGAGGTCAGGAGTTCGAGACCAGCATGGCCAACATGATGAAACCTCATCTCTACTAAAATACACAAATTAGTTGGGCGTGGTGGTGTGTGCCTGTAATCCCAGCTACTTGGGAGGCTGAGTCAGGAGAATCACTTGAACTTGGGAGGCAGAGGTTGCAGTCAGCTGAGATGGCGCCCTTGCACTCCAGCCTGGGCAACAAGATCAAAACTTTGCATCAAAAAAAAAAAAAATATATATATATATAGATAGATAGATCTCAAATAAAAAGTTGTACATATTTTGGGGATACAAGTGATAGTTTGATGCATATATACAATGTATAATGTTCAAATAAAGATAATTGGGATATCCATCACCTCAAATATTTGTCATTTCTTTGTGTTGAAAACATTATAATCTTTCCCTTCTAGTATTTTCAAATATACAACAAACAATTATTAACTATAATTTTCCTCCTGTACTATCAAATACTAGAACTTATTCCTTTTGTTTTTCATAGTTTCAATGGACACTTTCATTGTTTATTTAATGGATCATCAATTTCACCTCCCTACCTACAAATGGAATTGCATCTTGTTTCCACACTGAGTAGTGAAACTGACAAAGCTAATCAGAATAAGCTATGTAAAAAGAGAACTAAGCTAACACAGTTCACTAACAGGCAAAATATAAATATGCACTCTAGAAAGCACAATGGTTTAGTCACTAAGAAATTCAAATGGGATCTTGAAGAATGTAGGCATATCCAGGGTGCAGTAAAGATGACCTGAGATGCTGTGCAACAGTTTAAGGGTTCCTGGCACTGCATCTCTTGGCCACTAGCTGAATCTTGACATGGAAGGTTTTGGCTAATGCCACATGGAGATGAAAAAAAATACTAAATTGACTTAGGGGCTGTGCACAGGAACTAAAAGGCAGGAAAGTACTAAATATTGCTGAGGTCATCCACTGCAAGAAGGACTTTACCTTCCAGGAGCTCTAAACTGGCACCACCCCCAAGTGCTCATATGACTGACTTTATCCTCTGCGTTCCATTTGGCACAGCAAGTGGCAGTGTCTCCACCACCTATGATGGTGATGCAGCCCTAGAAGTGACTTTTACCACCTCGTCCATGAGGGCTTTGGTTCCCCAGGCAAAAGCTTTCCATTCAAATACCCTACAGGACCATTCCACACAATCTGCTTAGCCCGAGTGACAGCTTCAGCATACTCTTGCTGCTTTCAGGACCACAGTCCAAGCTCACCTAGCCAGCAGGTATGCCAGAAGCCACAGTGGCTTAACCAGTCTTGGCTTTCTCATCAAACTTGTCAGCAGTGACAAAGTCAACAAACGAGGTAATCTTCACACCATTCTTCTCAGCTTTGGACATTAGGTCTTTGACAATCTTGGCTCCCTCTTCATCAGAGAATTCCCAATCTCCATGTTGCTGAGCACCTTAAGGAAGGTAAAAGCCACTTCACTACAAATAATCATCTCATTGACTTTGTCCAGCATTTTATTGATCACCTAGATCTTGTCTGCAACTTCAGCTCTGCCCAGGATGGCCACGTAGGCCCTCTCTGGGCTTTCCAAGGCCTTGGCAAAGAAGTTCAGCTCCTTCTTCATCAGCCTTCTGTGGCAGATTGACTCCTACCAAGGAGCTGTGGGCTGTATGAGCAGTTCCAAAAGCATCATTAACATAGACATCCCCTAGCTTGGAGAGTGACGCTCATAAAGCTTCTATTTTGGCTGGCTAGGCTTTAACCTTGTTCCCAGAAGTATCTTTTACCTTCCCTTCTTCCTCCACATGAAAGCGGAGGTTCTCCAGCAGGATGACAGAACCAGCAGCTGGGTTGGCACAGGCTTTCTACACTTCTGGGCCTACACAGTCCTTCAAGAACAGAACATCCTTGCCCAGCAGAGACCTGAGTTCTATAGCAACTGGCTCTAAGGAGTACTTGTCAGGCATAGGGACATCATCAGGCCAGCCTAGGTGGCTCCTAAGGACTACTGACTTGGCTCCATTGTCCAAGCAGAATTTGATGCTTGGGACAGCAGCCTTAATCCTCTGGTTGGTTGTTATCTGGTTGTTCTTCACGGGAACATTGAAGTCAACTCTCACAACGACCAGCTTCCCTTTCACGTCTTGCTTGTCAAGCGTCACCTTGTTAGAGACATTTTGGAAATACAGCGTGGAGAGAGGTCAGTGATTCAGACAGCGAGGGAGCTGGCTGCAATGTGTGCTCGGGAGGCTTGCATAATCAGAACCTACTCCTTCTATCTAACTGTATTTTTATACCCATTAATCAGTTTATCTTCATCACCCTCTCCCTCTTTCCTTCCCAGCCCCTGGTAACCACTTCTATTCACTACCTCTATGAGATCAATTTTTTTTTTTTTTGAGATGCAGTCTGCTCTGTCACCCAGGCTGGAGTGCAGTGGTGCAATCTTGGCTCATGGCAACCTCTGCCTCCCAGGTTCAAGTGATTCTCCTGCCTGAGCCTCCTGAGTATCTGGGATTATAGTACACACCCAGCTAATTTTTGTGTTTTTAGTAGAGATGGGGTTTCACCACGGTGGCCAGGCTGATCTCGAACTCCTGACCTTGTGATCTGCCTGCCTTGGCCTCCCAAAGTGCTGGGATTACAGACATGAGTCATAGCCTGGCCAGAAATTCAATTTTTTAAGCTCCCACATATGAGCAAGGACATGTAATGTTTGTCTTTCTGTGCCTGGCTTATTTCAGCTAACCTAATAACCTATAGTTCCATCCATGTTGCTGCAAATGACAGGATTTCATTCTTTTTTATGTCTGAATAATATTCCATTGTGTGGATATACCACATTTTCTTTTTCCGTTAATCTATGAATGGACACTTAGGTTGATTCCATATCCTGGCTACTGAAAATAGTGCCACAATAAACATGTAAAGGCAGGTATCTCTGTGATATACTGATTTCCTTTCTTTTGGTTATACACCCAGCAGTGGAACTGGTGGATCATATAGTAGTTCTACTTTTAATTGTTTGAGAACCCTCCATACTGTTTTCCATAATGTCTATACTACTTTACATTCCCAGAAACAGTGCACAAACATTCCCCTTTCTCCACATCCTCACCAGCATTTTTTGCCTTTTTAATAATAGACATTCTAATTGGGTTGTGGTTTTAATTTGCATTTCCCTAATGTTGAGCTTTTTTTTTTTTCTCTGCAGAAGCTTTTTAGCTTTTGCTGCCTGTGTTTTTTAGGTCTTAATTCAAAATTATTTGCCCAGACCAATATCCTGTAGTGTTTCCCCAATGTTTCCTTCTTGTAGTTTCATAATTTCAGGTGTTAAATTTAATTCTGCAATTCATTTTCATTTTTATATATGGTGATAGATGGAGATCTAGTTTCATTCTTTTACATGTGGATATCTAGCTCTCACAGCACCATTTATTGAAGACATCATCCTTTCCCCAATGTATGTTCTTGGTGCTTTTGTTGAAATGAGATGGGTATAAGTGCATGGACTTATTTCTGTATTCTCTATTCTGTTCCACTAGTTTATATGTCTATTTGTATGCCAGGACCATACTGTTTTGTTCACTATTATAACTTTGTAAATCAGGTAGTATGATTTTGAAATCAGGTCTGTGATCCCTCCAGCTTTGTTCTTTTTGCTCAGGATGCTTTAGTTATTTTAGATATTTTGTGCTTCCACATAAATTTTAGAAATGTTTTTCTATTTCTGTGAAAAATGTCATAGGTATTTTGATTGGTATTTTACATTAAATCTAGAGATCACTGTGGGTAGTATACACATTTAAAAAATATTAATTATTCCAATCTATGAGCATGAGATATACTTTGATTTTTTGTGTGTGTCTTCTTCAGTTTGTTTCATCAGTGTTTCCTAGTTTTTCTTGTAGAGATCTTTTGCTTTATTGGTTAAATTTATTCCTTGGTATTTTTTGGTAGCTATTGTAAATGGGATTGTTGTCTTGATTACTTATTCAGATTGATCACTGTTAGCATAAGGAAACACTATTTATTTGATGTGTTTATTCTATATCCTGCAAATTTACTGAATTTGTTTATAAATCCTTAGAATTTTTTTTTTGGTGGAGTAGTCCCATTTTTCTAAATATAAAATCATGCCATCTCCAAACAAGGCTGGTTTGACTTCTTCCTTTCCAATCTGCATGCCCTTGCTTTCTTTCTCTTACCTAATTGTGCTGTTGGACTTGTACTATGTTGAACAGAAGTGGTAAAAGTGGGCATTCCTGTGTGGATTCAGATGTTAGTGGAAGGTCTTCTACTTTTTCCCATTTAGTGTGACATTAACTGTGGGCTTGCCATGTATGGCCTTTATTGTGTTGGGTATGTGCCCTTTGTACCCAATTTGTTGAGGGTTTTCATCATAAAGGATTGCTAAATTTTATGTCATGTTTTTTCAGCATCTACTGAAAAGATCATCTGGTTTTTGTCCTTGATTCTGTTGTTGTAATTTATCATAATTACTGATTTGCTTTTATTTTAAAAAGTTTTTCGTGCTCCCCAGCTCTCTTGATACAGCAGACGTCATGGGTTTCGGAGACCTGAAAAGCCCCGCCGGCCTCCAGGTGCTCAACGACTACCTGGCGGACAAGAGCTACATCGAGGGGTATGTGCCATCACAAGCAGATGTGGCAGTATTTGAAGCAGTGTCCGGCCCACCGCCTGCCGACTTGTGTCATGCCCTACGTTGGTATAATCACATCAAGTCCTATGAAAAGGAAAAGGCCAGCCTGCCAGGAGTGAAGAAAGCTTTGGGCAAGTATGGTCCTGTGGATGTGGAAGACACTACAGGAAGTGGAGCTACAGATAGTAAAGATGATGATGACATTGATCTCTTCGGATCTGATGATGAGGAGGAAAGTGAAGAAGCGAAGAGGCTAAGGGAAGAACGTCTTGCACAATATGAATCAAAGAAAGCCAAAAAACCTGCACTTGTTGCCAAGTCTTCCATCTTACTGGATGTGAAACCTTGGGATGATGAGATAGATATGGCAAAATTAGAAGAGTGTGTCAGAAGCATTCAAGCAGACGGCTTAGTCTGGGGCTCATCTAAACTAGTTCCGGTGGGATATGGAATTAAGAAACTTCAAATACAATGTGTAGTTGAAGATGATAAAGTTGGAACAGATATGCTGGAGGAGCAGATCACTGCTTTTGAGGACTATGTCCAGTCCATGGATGTGGCTGCTTTCAACAAGATCTAAAATCCATCCTGGATCATGGCATTTAAATAAAAGCTTGAAAGATTAAAAAAAAAAAAAAAAAGTTTTTCATGAACCATATATGAGACTTAACGATCTGCTAATTTCACTGAACCATCCTTCCATCCCTGAGATGAATGTCATTTGATCCTAGTGAATTATCTTTCTAATGTGTTGAATTTGTTGCTAATATTGTGTTGAGAATTCTTGTATCTAAGTTCATCAGAGATATTGGCCTGTAGTTTTTTGTTGTTGTTTATTCAAAGACACAACAAGAAAACTGAAGAGGAAGACAGGAATACTTTTAAACTATTTTTTGAAACAGTTTTAGTAAAACTGGTATTAGTTCTTCTTTAAATGTTTGGTAGAATTCAGCAGTAAAGCATTAGGTCCTGAGCTTTTTTTTTGATGAAAGTCTTTTTAGTACTGCTTTAATCTTGTTACTAATTAATATTATTCTTTACAGGTTTTCTATTTCTTCATCGTTAAACCTTGGTAGGTTTTACATGTCCAGGAATTTATCCATTTCTTCTAGGTTATCCAATTTATTGGCATATAATTATTCATAATAGTCTCTGATAATCCTTTGTATTTCTATGGTGTCAGTTGCAATGTTACTTTTTCAATTCTGAATGTATTTATTTGAATCTTCTCTCATTCAAACAAGACCTAATGGAAGAAGGTCTTCTATTTTTTCAAAATAGCAACTTTTAATTTTTTAATTAGTCTCAACTTCATTTATGTCTGCTCTGATGTTTTGTGTCATTTTTTTCTTTCTACTAATTTTTGGTTTGGTTTCTTCTTGCTTTTGTAGTTCCTTGAGGTGAAGTTAGGCTGTTTATTTGGAGTTTTTCTGTCTTTTTGATGTAGGTGTTTATTGCTATAAACTTTCCTCTCTCTACTGCTTTTGCTGTATCTCATAGGTTTTGGTATGTAGTGTTTCCATTTTCATTTGTTTCAATCGATTTTTAAATTTTTTAATGTTGACCCATTGGTATTTAGGAGCATGTTGTTTAATTTCCCTGTATTTGTACAGTTTCCAAAGTTCCTCTCGTTATTGGTTTCTAGTTTTATTCCATTGTGGTCAGACAAGATACTTCATATGATTTCAACTTCTTAAAATTTGTTGAGACTTGTTTTGTGGCCTAAAAACGATCTATTTCAAGTGCTGATGAAAAGAATGCATATTCTGCAGCAGTTGGAGGAAATGTCTGTTAGATGCAATTGATCTAGAGTACAGCTTCACTTCGTTTTTTTGTTTTTCTTTTCCCCCTTCCAGGTACGTGGAGTACAGCGTAACTCTGAAGTTCATTTATTTGTTTTCTGCCTGGATAATCTATCCATTGTTAAAAGTGAGATGTTGAAGTCCCCTACTATTTGTATATTGCAGTCTATCTCACTCTTTAGGTCTATCAATATTTGCCATATATATTTGAGTGCTCCAGTGCTGGGTGAATACATATTTGCTATTGTTATATCCTTTTGTTGGACTTGTCCCTTTACCATCATTTAATGATCTCTTCATCTCTTTTTCCAGTATTGACAAACTTTATTTTATCTGATATAAGCATAGATAATCCCGCTCTTTTTTGGTTTTCATTTGCATGAAAATCTTTTTCTATCCCTCCACTTTCAATTTGTGTGCATTTTGATAGGTCAGCTCTCCTTCTTAATTGCAGGACTGACTGATCTACACTGATTTCAGGCCTAACCCAGACAGAGAGGCAACACATTGCAGAGAGTACTTTACCAGCTTCCACAGTTTCTAAGATCTAACACAAATAACAAATTATTTATTTTACCATACTCGTAGTGAGTCTGCTTCTCTGATCAGACCCTGACTGATAGATCCCATTAAAAGTTTCATTTAGAAAGAAGCGGCTTCTCCACTCCTTCTGGAATCTCTCCCTGGTTCAGCCTGCCTGCCTCCACGCCTGCCTCCACCATGTCCATCAGGGTGACCCAGAAGTCCTACAAGGTGTCCACCTCTGGCCTTGGGGCCTTCAGCAGCCACTCCTTCACGAGTGGGCCCAGTGCCTGCTTGAGCTCCTCGAGCTTCTCCTGAGTGAGCAGCAGTGGCTTCCAGGGTGGCCTGGGTGGCCCATGGCATAGGCATGGGAGGCATCACCGCCATCAGCATCAACCAGAGCCTGCTGAACCCCATTAAGGTGGATGTGGACCCCAACATCCAGGCCGTGCGTACCCAGGAGAAGGAGCAGATCAAGACCCTCAACAACAAGTTTGCTTCCTTCATCGACAAGGTGCGGTTCCCGGAGCAGCAGTACAAGATGCTGGAGACCAAATGGAGCCTCCTGCAGCAGCAGAAAACGGCTAGGAGCAACATGTTTGAGAGCTACATCAACAACCGGAGGCGGTAGCTGAAGACTCTGGGCCAGGAGAAGCTGAAGCTGGAGGCGGAGCTTGGTAACATGCAAGGGCTGGTGGAGGACTTCAAGAGCAAGTATGAGGAAGAGATGAATAAGCTACAGAGATGGAAAATGAATATGTCCTCATCAAGAAGGATGTGGATGAAGCTTACATGAACAAGGTAGAACTGGAGTCTTGCCTGGAAGGACTGACTGATGAGATCAACTTCCTCAGGCAGCTGTATGAAGAGGAGATCCGGGAGCTGCAGTCCCAGATCTCCGACATGGCTGTGGTGCTGTCCATGGGCAACAGCCGCTCTCTGGACATGGACAGTATCATCGCTGAGGTCAAGGCGCAGTACGAGGAGATCGCCAACCGCAGCCGGGCTGAGGCGGAGAGCACATACCAGATCAAGTATGAGGAGCTGCAGACGCTGACTGGGAAGCACAGGGATGACCTGCTACGTACGAAGACTGAGATCTCCAAGATGAACCGGAACATCAGCCGGCTCCAGGCTGAGATCGAGGGCTTCAGAGGCCAGAAGGCTTCCCTGGAGGCCGCCATTGCAGATGCTGTGCATCGCGGGGAGCAGGCACTCAAGGATGCTCATGCCAAGCAGCAGGAGCTGGAGACTGCCCTGCAACGGGCCGAGTAGGATATGGCAAAGTAGCTGCATGAGTACCAGGAGCTGATGAATGTCAAACTGGCCCTGGACATCAAGATCATCACCTACTGCAAGCTACTGGAGGGCGAGGAGAGCCGGCTGGAATCCGGGATGCAGAACATGAGTATCCACATGAAGACCACCAGCAGCTATGCAGGTGGTCTGAGCTCTGCCTATGGGGGCCTCACAAGCCCCAGCCTCAGCTATGGCCTGGGCTCCAGCTTTGGCTCTGTCACGGGCTCCAGCTCCTTCAGCTGTACCAGCTCCACCAAGGCTGTGTTGTGAAGAAGATTGAGACCCGTGATGGGAAGCTGGTGTCCGAGTGCTCTGACATCCTGCCCAAGTGAACAACTGCGACAGCCCCTCCCAGCCTGCCCCTCCTGAGGCAGCCCCAGAGCCCAGGAGGGAGGCTGCTGTGCAGGGGAGCACAGGGAACAGGAGACCCACCCAACGCTCAGCCCTAGCCTTCAGCCCACCGGAGGGGAATTTATTGCCTGGGGACCCCCCCTTGCCCATGCCTCCAGCTGCAAAACAATTCAATTGCTTTTTTTTTTTTTTTTGGTCCCAAATAAAATCTCAGCTAGCTCAGAGGAAAAAAAAAAAAGTTTCATTTAAACAGGAGGCATAAGTTCTGGTGTTCTATTACACAACACACAGTAACTATAGTTAAAAATACTGTATGTTTCAAAATCACTAAAAGAGAGGATTTTAAATGTTCTTATCACAGATAAATCATTAAGATTTAAGGTAATTTACACGCTAATTTATTTTATTTGATCATTCCATAAGTATACATGTATTAAAACATAACCTCATAAATATATGAGGTACCTCATAAATATGTACAATTATTATTTATCAATTAAAAATAAAATAAAACCTTTAAAAAGCTATTTTTTAAAAAAAAAAAAAAAAAGGAAAGCTAGGTGTGAATTTTGGGAAATCAGGGGCAAAGTGGAACCCACAGGGACAAATTAGATCCCATGTCTGTCTTTAATCACCTCTAATCTTGATGATGCCGGTGACCTGCAGAAGCTGGGGCCCTTAGCAACAGAACTCCTCAAGCACCTGGCCTCCTCTCAGGACTCAAAGAAAATAAAGGAGATCATTAGGAGTTGGAGGAGCTGCAGGGCCAGGTGCTACCCCATGCCAACAGGTGAGCCAGCAGAGCCATAACAATGTACATGAGCCACCATGATGCCTGATACCCAGCACTGACGTTCAGAGCTTAAAAATGCTGCTTCACATCTACTTCCCCAATTTTATATTAATTTTTCTTGTAGTTTATCCTAATCTGGAACCATGTAGGAAGGAGATCCTGGGAAAGGTCATTCCGGTTTAGCTAAATTAACATGGTATGAAACTACTAGAGTCTACTCCTTGTCAGCCTGGGATGCATACACACTTCTTTTAACCATACTTAACTTCCAAATAAAGACAAGAACAAAATAATGCTTTCCCTTCACAATATGCAATTGTCCCTCATGCAACTGAAAACATGCCATCCCTCTCCCCAAGAGAGACTATGAAGTCCCTTTATTCATCTTTGGGTGATAATCATTCTTTTCTTAGCTGAGTCACACTCTCCTTTGATATCTTGTTATTTAATCCTGTCCTCGTTATTTGTTGCTAAACAACAAACCAACCTAAACCTATAGGAATAAAACAATGACCATCACGGATTTTATGTGTTAGGAATTTGGAAGAAGCACAGCAAGGATGTTGGGATGACTTCAACAGTAGGGGTTAGTAATGGCCAGGGTCAGATAATCCACTTTCAAGATGGCTTCTTTCCTCACAATTTGGGTACCTGGCTTGGGAAGGCTGAAGGACAGCCTCACCCGGGACTACTGGAGAACCTGCATGTACCCTCTCCTGCATGGCAGTCTTAGAGTAGCTGAACTACTTAAAAGGCTACTCAGAGTTCAAAAGTGAGTTTTCCAGCAAATGAAGTAGAAATTGCATGATCTTTCATGACATAGCTTTGGAAGTCACACAGCAACACTTACAGCATACTCTGTGGGTTGAAGAAA